TTTTTTTTTTGGAGAGGTTTTTGCTATAGGGTGCATGCGCTCGCCAGAAAGACAGAGAGGGAGAGACAGAAAGCAAGAAATCACCCCCCTGTGGGGATGGCCACGCCGCAATCCCTTCTCCTCTATTCTCCTCTCGGGATCTTGGGCATGCACGCACACGTGCCCGGCGGCATGAGTTTAAGCCACCAGGTCCGGGACTCGAACCTCAATCGGCTACATGGGAGTCCAGCAACATAGCCATTATGCCAACTGCTGGTCCCATGGAATCCAGTGCCTTTAACCATCACACCAACTGCCGTCCCTAATATCTACCATTTTAATATTTTTATTTTTTAAGATTTAGAAGTCTCTACTGAAGAGGAAGAGGAAACTAGAGATATTAAAGATGATTCATTCTTTAAAACATAAAAGAAGCATAAGAAGAAACATAGGGGCCAGCAAGTGGCATAGTGGTTAAGGGTGCTGGACTCCCACATGACCCAGCGTGGTTCAATTCCTGGATCTGGTGGCTTAAAAATAATGCCAGGCACAGGACCAACAGATGGTAGTTGACTATGGTTGGAGTCTAAGATCCACCAGCTTGAAATTTGCACTGGGTATGTGTGCCTGTGTGCCCAAAATCTGGATTGTGGCATGGCCATATCCCCTGGGGGTTGATTACTCATTTTTTTGTCTCTCTGTCTTTCTCTGTCTCTCTGGCAAGTGCACACAGATAGCAAATAGCAAAAAATACCCCCCCCAAAAAAAAAAATGCCAGGCACATACATGTGCATGTGTGTGTCCATGTGGGGAGCCGCCCACATCAAAATGGCTGCCATGACCTTCACTGCTTAAAAATGGCCGGTGCGACCTTGACACACACACCAGGAACGCAGACCCCCTGGTTCAGACAGAACTGACAGGTCCTCAATTAGGTCCGCTGTAAACCCCGCCTACCTCCCTCTGCCTTGTGTATATAAGAAAGCGCTCTAGCCCTCAATAAATGAGTGAAACCTTTACACCATCAAGAGCTGTGACACTGTGTGAGCTGTGATACTTCTTTCGCTCCCGTGCTGAGATGCTGCGCCGGTTGCAGACCTCCGCCCCCTCGCTCGAGTTTCCCTGCCCGATAAGTTCCCGCAGGACGGGGACATGTCCAGATCCTAGGAGTAGAATGGAGAAGGGATTGCAGCATGAACATACCCTGGGGTGGGGGGATGATTTCTTACTTTCCCTTTCACTGACTGCAGAGAGTGGATGTATCCTATGGCAAAAACTTAAAAAAGAAGAAACTTTAGAAGTGAAAATGGGGGGAACAGCATGTGGTGTGGTGTTGGACACTCCCACATGGCTAACCATGGTTCAAGACCTGTACCTGGTGGTTTGCTTTCTCACTTTCTCACTTTCTCTCTCTCTCTCTCTCTCTCTGTTTCCCTCTGGTCAAATTAAGAAATAAATGAATGAATAAATAAAATAAAAATAATTCTTTTTTAAAAATTATTTTATTTAACTTTATTTATTACTATTATCATTATTATTTTGCAGTTTGATCAGAGAGAGAGAGAGGAAGTGAGAAAGCAAGCCACCAGGTCTGAGACTTGAACTGTGGTCGGCCATGTGGGAGTCCAGCGCCTTTAACCACCACGCCACTTGCCGGCCCCAAAAATTAATTCTTAAAAAAAAAAAAAAAGAAATGAAAATGGGAGAAGAGGTTACACCCATAAGAGTACTACGCAAGCAAGCTGATGGTACACATTTTGCTGTTGAAGTTGACTAACACTCGTATATGTCTTTTAATGTTGTTAGAGTGGATATACAATAAACACAATTGAGAAAAGGGAGTATTTCTGTTATTTTGACTAGTATGAACACAAACTCGTCCCAGACAGGAGTATGGGCCTGCCCTCTCTTTCTACCCTACCACAGCCATTTATTAATAGCAGGACCCTCTTCAGACACAGGTGGGCTCTGACTCAGGTGTGCTCATCCTTGATAACTAAACCACAGGTAGGAGAGGGGTGGTTTCCTATTCCAAACACCCACCTTGCAGAAAATCTCAAAATCTTACAGAAGCCACCTGCAATGGCAGAACCCTTTTAAGGGTGTAAGGTTGGGGGTTCAACAAAATACAGCAAACCTGGCCTGTGTCGTGATTTGTAAGCCCCATGAACTAAGAATGCTTTTCATGTTTTACAATAGTTACATTTTGGGCCAGTGCATGGCCTAGGGGTTAAGGCAGCTGAGTCCCGCAGGGCTGACTGCCTGGTTTGGATGTGTTGGGTGAGTCCAAAATCCCCAGAGGGAGAAACAGAGGAGAGGGGATTGCGGCCTTGCTTTCTCCCTTTCACTCTCTTTCTCCCTCTAGTAAGCACACATGAACTCTGGCAAATAAAAAAAAAATTAAGGTTACATTTATTTATTTATTTATTTTTGCCACAATCCTCCAGCCTCCATAGATTTTTTTTTCCCCCCCATAGGGTGGGCGCCACCATGCCCCAAGGTTACATTTTAAATAGTTATATAAGGACCTACAAGATATCCTCTTTTTTAAGAATTATTTTATTTAACTTTATTCATTTCCTTTCATTTGACCAGAGAAGGGAAGAACGAGAGAGAGAGAGAGAGAGAGAGAGTGTGAAAGAGCAAGCCACTAGGTCTGGGACTCAACGGCTATCGGCCATGAGGAGTCCCGCGTCCCTAACCACCACGCCACTTGCCGGCCCCAAAATATCCTCAATTTTATCCTCCTGAATCCGCAAAGCCTAAATTAGTTATTAGGGAAAAAAATTGCATAACCTCTCTACTCTTTCCTGGACAGCAGCACAGGCACAAAGCAGTAAGTCTGGGACTCAGATAAGCTCAGTCCAGAAAACCAAGCTGTGTTCCAAGCGCCTGGGGCTGGCTGCAGGTGGAGGGCCACCCACTTCTCCCCAGGAGTCAGGCCGGATGCTCCAGGTGGGGCTTGGTTGTGCCCGAGATGCTCCAGACCCCTTCATAGCACCCCCGCGGCCCGGTGTCGGCGTGGGCAGCCCCAGCGATCGCGCAGACAGAAGTGCCAGACCAGGGCAGAACAGCTCAGCACAGCCAGGGCTGTACCCACTCCCACGGCTGCGTAGACCAAAGTGAGGGGTCTGGGTGGCACAGTCAGTCGGCCACAAGGCCCAAAAGCAGAGAGACCTGCCCCTTCGGGGTCTTCCCCACCCTCCTCCGGTACAAGGCTTTCCCCGGCCTCGTTAGCCGCCACCACGCAAACGACATAGGCACCCCCAGGCTTCAGTCCTGTAAGTTCTGCTCTGCGGACTGTGGCGTTGAGGGGAGGCCCCTTCTGCGGAGGCTCCTTGCCTTCCCAAAGTAACAGCCAATAGTCGTGGACAGGGGAGGAGGGGGCACACCAGTGGACCACAGCCCGGCCCTCCTCTGCCACAATGCGAACTTCTCCCAGGCGCGGCGGGTCAGGCGGCTGGGCAGGGCTAGAGAGCCCAGGGCACAGGCAGGACGCCGGCCCTGCCTTCTGCAGCTCCCGGCAGGGCACCTGCAGGTGGCGGCAGCGGTCGTAGTCACAGGGGACAGCAGGCAAAGGTGGCCACACAGTCTCCTCTTCTTCCTCAAAGCCTTGAGGTGCCAAGGGCTGAGCTTTGAGAACCAAGGAGAAGGTCAAGGCCAGGAGCCCCAGAAGACAGGGAGAGCCCAGCATGGAGTCTGGAAGGGAAGAGATGGATGTGGTAAAGGACGGTGAGCCCGGTGACTCTTAGGCCCTGTGCCTCCCAGAACCTCCAGGGACAGGGACACAACTGGGGATCGAGATGGAAGAAAGAGGTGGGGGAATAAGATGGATGCACTCATTTGTCAGCCAACTTCTGAATCCGAGCCCCGTCCTTGTTTTTATTATTTTACTGCCAGAGGGTGCACACCTTGCCACAGAGAGAGGAGGGACAAGGTACAAGCACCCTCCAGGAGAAGGTACAGCACCCTCCAATGGGGCATGGTTATGCTGCCTTCCCTCCTCCTCCATTGATTCACCCGCTCAAGATTTGGAGATTTAGAGTGTACACACATACACACGCCCAGTGTGTTTTTCTTTTCTTTTCTTTTTTCCCCGATGTGTTTTTCAAGCCACCAAAGCCAGGTTTCAAACTGGGCTTGGCCATGTGAGATCTAGTGTTTAAGCTAGACCCTATCCTTTATTATTATTATTATTATTATTATTTTTCTTTCCTATAGAACAAAGAGAGAGACAGAGAGGAAAAGTGAAAAATTACCCATTAGGAGAGGATGGCCCCACCACGACCTGTTCTCTTGGAATTTTGGCACTTGGGTGTGATTTTCAAGCCACCAGATCCTGGACTCAAGCGTGCATTTGGCCATGTGGGGTCCAGTGCCTTAATCTCTACACCACCTGTAGGCCCCTAACCTTGGCTTTAAGTTGAGAAGAATAAAATACAGTCAGACACATGAACGAGACAGAGGTATGACCAGCAAGGCATGAAGTGCTAGAAACAGCACATGATAAAGTACTCGGGGAGGCAACGGAGGCGGTCGCAGAAAAAAATTACTGGGGGAGAGAAGAGGAAGTGATTTGCTCAGGTCTAGGGAAGAAAGGTGGAATGCTTCCTAGCCACCACCCAGAGAAAAGCTCAAAGTAAAACAAGTATTAGTCGGTGACACATTCACAACCCAAAAGGAGACAAACTGAGAAAGGACGGAAGGGGGCAATAAGGACCCTGGAATTATCCCTTCCCACCTGCTATTTGTGCAAATCCCATCCAAGGAACCTGGCCCTTGTTTGCCACCCCCCTCCCCATGCCCCGCCCAGGCCCACAGCCAACCCTTACCAGTAAGCAGGCCTTAGTGCAGCAGAAATCTGTCAGGCTGAGGGGTCCCCAGGATCGCAGACTGTGCGGTAAGGTTGGATCTTCAATTTCAATCTTGTTTTGCCCAGAAGCTTTTATACCCCTCAACTGTGATGTCACCGCCTAGCCTCCCTCCTCTCCCCCTCCTCAGTACATGCCAAGAAGGCTGGTTTCTTCAGAGGGCCTGAGTCACGAGGCCAGGGATGGGGAAAGATACATGCAGCGGTTGCAGCTGGAGGCCAGGATGCCTGGGTTCTGGAAGGGGAGTGGAATGTGGAAGGCAGCCAGGCGCTGAGAATCCAAAGGCTGAAGTCATGTGAAGGGGAAGGGAACATGGGAGAGGAGATGGCCACCTGGCTGGTATTAGAGAGGAAAACAGCTGTGGATAGCAGGGGGTCTGAGATACGAAGTGTTCAGTAAGAATCATACCACATCTAGGGCAGTCATTTCCTGTCTTCTGCCTCCCAACGGACAGAGAAAGGGAGTGGTGCAGAGGCGAGAATGATGTATCCAGCCCTCCAGGCCCGCCCTACCCTATCCCCCCTCCCTGAGGGAGATGCAAGAGTCACATGGACGGACAAGAGGGGGAGACTGCTAGGATAGGTTTTCTCTCCTTGGACTTCCTAAGCTTACAAATGGAAGCTATGCTTAAAATAGCCCAGGCCTGGAGGCCTTCCCTGTGGGTAGCCCCTGACGAGGCAGTCTCCACCTATGGGGAACACAGGGTTTTCAAATGGCTCTGGATTCATCTTAGAGTCACGGAAGCAGCAGACACGAAAATACTTTATTAAGGGAAAAACAAAGGGGCAGGGGTCCAATAGGAAAGTGCTGGAATGTGAGGAATCTGCCCGTTTTTCAGGAACTGGAGCAGGTAGGGCGTTGGCGGAGAGCACCCACAGAGGGTTCTGAGCTGCCCAGAGTCTCTGGGACAGGGGCTGGAGCAGGCAGGTTGGCCTCAGTCAGCAGAGCTGCATCTTCCCAGGAGCCTGAACCTGGGCCAGGAAAGAGAGACCAATCCCAAATGAGATATTAGATAGGCCAGGATCTTCACCCCCACTCCTGCCAGGTCCCACTGCGGTCTCCTCTCACCATCACTGGCCTCAGGCTCCAGCTCCTCCTCTCCACTCAGGGGCTGCTGGTCTGTTTTCTCCTCCTCAGACAGGTGACTTTCTGTAGCCAAAGGGCAAGGCTGAGGTCAGACCCTGGTGCTAGAGAGCTAAGGAGGATCAGGAAGGAGGGACTGCTGCTGCAGCATCGTACCTGGCCCAGACGGGTCTTCAGGGCTCTCACCATCCTCTGTAATATCTGACTGCTGGGTAGACGACTCCTGGCCTTCAGACCCTTCAGACCCTGTGCCTCCAAAGGAAAAAGAGGAAAGGCTAGGGTTAGGGTTAGGATGCCTGACGGCAGTGCCAACTTCACCTCCTTCAGCCTTTTCTCTGGGCGTCACCTCAGCACATGACTGCTTTAAGCCTCACAAGGATAAAGTAAGCACCCCTACCCCCACCCCAGCGCCAACTAACACCTTTACCTGGCTGACGAGTAGAGATCTTCCGTGGGGCTTCCTTTCGGGAACCATCTCTTTTCCGGATGTTAACCTGTGGAGGAGAAACCACTGAGCAGTGTAGAGTGATTGCCCTCACCGGTGATCAGGGTCTTGTGCCCCAGCCTATGACGTGTCCCCACCCACTCACAAAGACAGACCATAGAAGGAAGAAAAAGGGGACCCTGCCCCTTGCAACCTGCAAAGAGAAGCGGTGTCGGGGCCAAATGCCGCCCCACACCCACTGCATGTAGCTGAAGAGCACAATGACGCTGAGGAAGGTGAAGTTGCTGGCGACACCGATGAAGGCGCACGTCATGGGGAAGTTGTACAGCAGGTACCTGAGGCAGGAATAGGGACAGGAAGGGAGCAGCAGTTACCAGAGAGCACCACCCTTCTCATTTCCCAGAAGCAATTTCTAGGGTAATTCTAATGAGTTTGGCTAGAGCCAGCCTCTAGCTTCCCAGACTCCCACCCACACCAGAACACACTGCCCCTATTTCTAATAAAGGCCAAAGACCTATAGGCAGGCCCAATACTGCAGGGCCATAGGAAACCGTCCCAACTGCAGCTCTCTTAAGTCAACTCCCAGCTCCTGCTGAGACAACTGAATAAGACAGTAGTCTTGGCTATACATCAGCATTTCCTGGGGTGCTTCAAAAAATTCTGATGGCCGGGCCCAGCATTATGGTTCAGGTACTGTGGTGCTGCTATGTGATGTTAGAGCTATATGGGAAGGCTCTGGGTTCAGACCCTAGACTGATCTGTACATGTCAGGCATGCCACGGGCATGCTCAAGATCCTCGACAGAGTGATAAGACCCTGTCGAGAGTACCTCTCTCTCTCATGAAACAAATAAAAAATAAACTCTGAAAATTTCTGGGAGGGCCCCCAATGGCACAGAGATTAAGGTGGCTAGATCCTACATGGCCAACTGTGCAGTCGGGGTCTTGAACCCAGTGGCTTGAAAAATGCTGGGGGGGTCCAGCAGGTAGCATAGCAGTTGAGGTGCTGGACCCATGTGGTGAATCACGATTCAAGTCCCAGACCTACTGGCTTGAAATTCACACCAGGGGTGTGTGTGTGTGTGTGTGTGTGTGTGTGCCCAAAATCCCAAGAAGAGAATAGAGAAGGGATTACGGCATGGCCATCCCCCCAGGGGCGTGATTTTTCATTTTCTGTCTCTCTGTCTCTCCAGCAAGCACATGTGCCCTATAGCAAAAAATCTCCAAAAAGACAAGAAAATACAGTGTGTGTGTGTGTGTGTCCAAAAGCCCAAGAGGAAGGTGGAGAAGAATTATGGCATGGCCATCCCCCCTGGAGGGTGTTTTCCCACTTTACTTCTCTTTCTCTGTCTCTCTGGCAAGCACACATGCTCTATAGCAAATTTAAAACAAAAAATTAATTAATTAAAAAAAAGTTCCCCATAGAACTGCTATACTGACATGCAGCTAGGGGCGAGAACCCCTGGCCTATGCAAAAACCTGACTCAATGCTGCTCTGTGACTCTGTTACCTTGGCTTGGGACCCTCTTCTTCTTTTTTTTTTTTCAGATTTATTTATTTATTTTTTAAAATTTGACCAGAGAGAGATAGAGTGAGAGAGAGGGAAAGTGAGAAAGCAAGCTGCCAGGTCCAGGACTTGAACCCCAGTTGGCCATGTGGGAGTCCAGCACCCTTAATCACTAGGCCACCTGCCAGCTCCAGAACCCTCTTCATTTTAGGACAGCCCTCATGAAAGCTGCCAGGGCCCACATCAGAGGCTCCTCACCTGAGCCCAGTGAAGTGGGCATGGATGCGGAGGTAGGCTCCATACATCTGGATACGCTTGCTGTGGATCTCGATAATTGCTCCAGTGGTCGGCACGTACTGTAAGAGGGGGGAGGGAGAGGGCAGCATCCAGCCAGGATCCCACTGTTCCTCTTAAAGCCCAGCCTGAGGTCCACTTCCAGGTTTTCTATTCCCGACTGAGCCCAGACGCTTCTCAGGCAGAATCCTGGGCTATGAGGTGGGAGAAGGGGGGGCTGTCTCCCAGTTATCCTTCACCTCACTTACTGAGTTCTCTCTATAGTCCGCGTAGAGCTCCACCTCCAGGAGCTGCTTCTGCTCTGCAAAGCCAAACAGCAGGAGGCTGGAGAAGACCAGCGTGTCAAGCATCTGGAGCAGGTCTGAGCGGTAATGCAGCATGACCTGGCAGGACCAGTAGGGAGAGGTTGATGCCAGGTACCTCAGGCTTCCATGGGCCTACCTACCCCTTCAGCCTCTGAGTAGCTACGACGATGGGCAGACTCCACAGCACCCAGCTTAGACCCAGCCCTCCCAATTGCTTGAGTAACCCCTCCCCGTCCCGGACCACATTTCTCCATTCCAATGCAACAAAGGTCCCTCTTCCAAGAAATCTTCCTACGTTAAGCCCAAGATGGTCTCTGCCCTACCTTTTCCTCCCTGTAATATGGCATGGGATCTGAGTCCCAGTGCACCATCTGAAGCATCCTCCTCCCTCTGCTCCCAGCAGATATTCAGGGATTTGCTTCATGATGAGATTTTCTCAACAATTTATCTACAGATAGTGTCGGATGCTCATTATGTGCTAAGAAGAACTTTACACTTTTTCATTGATCTGAACTAGTCTTGCTATGAAGCAATTATCAATTATCACTCTGTTTGTAATATTTTATATCCATGGAGCTAAGTCAGCTGTCCCACAGTTAGCATGGTTCTGGAAGAGGACACAAGCTCAGTTCTGTGTGGCTCTAAAGCCTCTGTTTTTCTGAGAGCAGCTGTAGTCTTCAGACTAGTCCAGAATCAAACGTGCTAATCAGATGCCTGGGATGTCTGGCTAGGTAAGCTGATTCCTTCCCTTATCCTGACATGTTTATAACCTCAGAGCCAAGAGCATCTGCTCCTGAAGCCCCACCCAGATAGTCTGACTCTGCCATCATTCTCTGTACCTTCCCAGACAGGCCACGGACACTTACTGAGCGCGAAGAAGTGGAGATAATGCGGCCGCCTCTGGTGTAGCATGAAATGGTGACCAAGAACATGCCCAAATCTTGATTCACAGGGGACTCTGGCAGCTCAAGCTCTAAGGTAACGCGATATGGCTGTCCATACATCAGCACCTGCCCAAGGTAGCCATTTATTTTTTTAAAAAAGACTTAAAAAAAAAAAAAATCCTGTCCTTGTTTCACCTCCTTCCTCCCTTATATCCTCAAATACACTGTCTTTGGTTAGCACTTTGGGTCTCTCAAGCTCTTATCCCAGGAAGGTGCTGCCCCCTACTGGTAGCTGCTCCCCCTTCTGAAGTCTTTCTGAATCAGATTGGGTATTCTGTTTCGAGAAAGGCTGTGTTGCATTTCTTTCCCAAAAATGAACCTCTGCGTTGCCAATTGGGCCATCTGTGACTCAGGCCCATGTGCCTGTGTGGCCATCCCCCTGGACCCGGCCTGCTTTCACTCACATTATTAATTAAACAAGCGCTGGTAGTGTTGTCTCCCCAGCCGGCTCTCACAGTTATTACTCCAGAGCATCTTTGTATCCTTTTGGGTCCCTTATCTTTGTTCTTTTGGTAGAACCCTGAGACTCGCAGTGGGAAGGCTTCCTCACAGGGATCAGCTTCAAAAGGTTAAAGATTTGCCATCAAACATACTCTAATTTTTTCTGACATTACCTATATTCTTCTCTCTTATATGTAGTGATTCTTAGCAGCATGACCCACTGAGGGTGCTATGTAAAAACAATAGGCTGGGACCAGCAGTTAGCGTAATGGCTATGTCGCTGGACTCCCACGTAGTCAACTGCAGTTCGTGTCCCGGACCCGGTGGCTTAGAACTCACGCCGGGCGCGTGTGCGTGTGTGCCCAAGATCCCAAGAGGAGAATGGAGGAGAAGGGATTGCAGCGTGGCCATTCCCCCTGGGAGGGTGATTTCTCGCTTTTTGTCTCTCTCTCTGTGTGGTGAGCGCACACGCCCTTAATAGGCATAGGGCTAGCAGATGGCATAGTGGTTATATTGTGGTTACATTGTTGGACTCCCACATGGCTAACTGCAGTTCAAGTCCTAGATCCGGTGGCTGTAAAATCATGCTGGGCACATGTGTGTGCATGCCCAAGATCCCAAGAGAATAGAGAAGGGATTTCAGTGTTCTCAAGATCCTGGGAGGAGAATGGAGAAGGGATTATGGAGAGGCCATCCTCCCAGGGTGGGGGTGATTTCTCACTTTCTTTCTCTGTCTCTCTGGTGAGTGCACAAACCCTATAGCAGGAATCTCTCTTAAATAAAAGAAAAAAAAAAAAAAGGGTAGTTCTGGGTGTGATGATTAAGGCACTGGACTCCCACAAGGTTGACTGTGGTTTGAATTCCGGATCTAGTGGCTTGCTTCCTTTCTTTATCTCTCTCTCTCCCGCTCGCTTTCTCTCCTGAGACCACATGCCCTATGGCAATTAAAAAAAAAAAAAGAAAAAAGAAAGAAAGTAGTTCTTGGGTTAGCTGCAGCTATAGTGGGTAAGGTGGCTAGATCCCACATGGCTGACTGCATGGTTCAAGTCCTGGACCTGATAGCTTAAAAAGCATGCTAGTTGTGTATACAGTGCTTCCAAAATTCTAAGAGGAGAATAGACAAGAAGGAATTGCAGCATGGCTGTCCCCACTGGATGAGGGTGATTTCTTACTTTCCCTCTCTTGTCTTTCTCCTGTAAGTCCACATACCTTATGGCAAAAATCTAAAAAAAAGAGAGAAAAAAATGGGGGAGGGGATGAGCAGCATGGTGTTTCTTTTCTTTCTTTTTTATTTTAAATAATTATTATTATCATTTTGAAGAGGTTTTTGCTATAGGGCATGTGCGCTCGCCAGAAAGACAGAGAGAGACAGAGAGACAGAAAGCGAGAAATCACCCCCCAGGGGGGATGGACACACCGCTAATTGCTGGTCCCATTGGAGTTTCTTTTTTGAGTGACAAAAATGTTCTAACATTGGGAACCAGCAGTTAGTGTAATGGCTATGTCGCTGGACTCCCACGTAGTCGACCGCGGTTCGCATCCCGGACCCAGTGGCTTAAAACTCATGCCGGGCACGTGTACGTGCGTGCCCAAGATCCCGAGAGGAGAATGGAGGAGAAGGGATTGCGGCGTAACCATCCCCCCTAGGGGGTGATTTCTCGCTTTCTGTCTCTCTGTCTCTGTCTGTCTGGCGAGTGCACGCGTCCTATAGCAAAAACCTCTCAAAAAAAAAAAAAAAAAAGGAAAAAAAAGTTCTAACATTTATTGTGGTGATGGTTGTACAACTCTGAATATACTAAAAATGACAGAATTGTATACCCTAAGTAGGTGAATTGTATGCCATATAAATTTCTTATTTTTTAAGAGAGATTTTTGCTATAGGGTGCAAGTGCTCACCAAAGAGAAAGCGAGAAATTACCCCCTAGGGGGGATGGTTACGCCGCAATCCCTTCTCCTCCATTCTCCTTTCAGAATTTTGGGCACATACACACACACGTGCCCTGCATGAGTTTTAAGTTGCTGGGTCTGAGGTTCGAACTGTAGTTAACTACGTGGGAGTCCAGCAACATAACCATTACACCATCTGCTGGTTCCATAAGTTCTTTTTTTAAAAGTCTGCTACAAGGCACATGCACTTGTCAGAAAAAGAGAAAGGAAAAGAGAGATATCACCTCTCAGGGGGATGGCCATGTCATAATTCCTTCTCCTCTATTCTCCTCTTGGGATTTTGGGCACCCATGCATGCATACACACCGAGTGTGTTTTAAGCCATCAGGTCCAGGACTCGAACCTTACAGTTGATCATGTGGAATACAGCTGCCTTAACTTCCATAATAAAGCTATTATTTTAAAATAACAAACTGGGAGCAGTGGTTAGCTATGTCATTGAACTCTCACGTAATTGACAGTGGTTCAAGTCCTGGACCCAGTGGCTTAAACTCATGCTGGGTGCATGTGCATGCATGCCCAAGATCCCGAGAGGAGAATGGAGAAGGGATTGCAGTGTGGCCATCCCCCCAGGAGGTGATTTCTCTCTTTCCTTCTTTCTGTCTCTCTCTGTCTTTCTGGTGAGTGCATGTGCCCTATAGGAAAAACCTCTCCAACAGGCTGGCCATCTCATATGGTCTGAGTCCTGAAACTGGCTGCCTGAAAACACATTGAACAAGCATGCATGCCAAATTTAGCAGAATGGAGAAATGAAAGACGGGATTGCACTGTGACCATGCCCCATTGGTAGGTGCTTTCTTCCTATCCCTCTGTCTTTTTATGGCAAATACAAACACAGTCTGGCAATTTTTTCAAATAATTATTTTTAATTTTTTAATTTATCCATTCATTTATTTTAATTTGACCAGAGAAAGACAGAGAGAAAGTGAAAAAGCAAGCCACTAGGTCCAGACTTGAACCGTGATCGGTGAACCGTGATCGGCTACGTGGGAGTCCAGCCACCTTAACTACCATGCTACCTGCTGGTCCCCATTCTGGCATTTTTAAAGTAGAATTATTTACTTAATTTTATTTGTAATTATTATTAATTTGACCAGAAAGAGACAGAGAGAGAGAGAAAGTGAGAAAGCAAGCCGCCAGGTCCAGGACTCAAACCGCAGTCATCCATGTGGGAATCCAGTGCCCTTAACCACCATACCATCTGCTGGCCCCCATTCTGGCAATTTTTTAAAAAAGAAAAATAAGTTTTGGAAAAAAGAAAATTCTAATTTGCTAGAAGAAGTGGACTCACTGGAGGAGAGAAATGTAAAGTGGGAAAGGGACAAAGCATGCCCTCATAGGGGGGTCCACACCGCAGTCCTTTCTCTTACATTTCTTCTCTTGGGATTTTGGGCATGCCCACACATGCACCAGTATGTTTTTCAAGCTGCTGGGTCTGGGACTCAACCATGTAGTTGGCCATTTGGGATCCAGTCACCTTAACCACTATGCCACTGGCTGATCCAAAAAATAAGTTTCAAATGTTTTTTAAATTCTTAGTAAACTTTGTCACTGATTACTTCTAATGACATTGCTGACTGACTACTCAAAATACTCTAGTACTCAACAATGGGTGTTGATCCTCTAAGGTCCTTCCTAGTCCTTTCCAAGCATTCAAGGATCCTGCCCTTTATTGGTATGTCTGCTAGCCTGCCTAATACTGAAGGCTGAGTCCTCGTTTGTACTTCTCAGGGTTCCTCAATTTGTTGAAGTCACACTGGCATCTGGCCAGTCCTCTAGCACAGTACCCTTTGTAATGACAGGCCACACATGTTCGACAACAGTTTCATAATTTTATATACAACCTTTTAAAATTCTTGGGTGATTGCCATCCTAGTCTAATGAAATAGCTGATTTGCTCATTTAAGTCTAAAACATAGAGCTCACTTCATCTAGTAGATATGACCTGCTTCAAACAGGCAGTATCTTACCTATATGTTAAGAAACAGAACATTGCTAATCTCTGCTACGGAAAGATCACTACACACAAGTCATTTAGACTTAATTTTTCTTCTGCCTTCCTTCCTTTAGCGCCTTCTTCTTAGTATTTGCAATCCCTATTCTCCAGGTCTTTTTCAAGCCTCCCTATCTCAGGTCATCAAAGCTCTAATGAAACTTCTCTCCAGCTCCCATACTTACCCGATCACGTCCACTCTTAGCCAGTGAGACATTGGCAACAGGGAAGCTGCAGAGTGAGGTGGTAGAGGAATCACAGTCGGTCCTAATAAAGAATGGGGGATGATACTCTGGTAAGTCACAGAGCCTGCCTTACCTGTCTAGCTGCATACAGTGCTGGTTCCCAAGGGTTTTCCCCTATCCCCTAGGCCTTCTCCCAGTACAGAGACCCTTGTTTCCATCACAGAGATGGAGAAATGTGGTCAAGAGATCCATGATATCATAATGATTCTTTCCTTTTCTTCCTGCTATTTCAATTTATTTCCTCTCTGTACAGTGCTCAAAGGACACTTAGTTGAATAGTTTCCCCCTTTAGTGTTTCTTTCTCTAGAGTTAGATTTTTGCTACACGGCATATATGCTTGCCAGACAGGCAGAGAGAGATGGAGAGACAGAAAGTGAGAAATCACTTCCCAGAGCATTTGGCGATGCCATAATCCCTTTTCCTCTATTCTCCTCTTGGAACTTTGGGCACACACGCACACGTGCCTGGCAGGTTTCAAGCCTCCAGGTCTGGGACTTGAACTGCAGTAGACCATGTGGGAGTCCTGTGACAAAACCATTACGCCATCTGCTGGTCCAACATACCTCAGTGTTTCTAAAGATTCACTTGAGGAGCTTGATAAAAACATTCTATGCCACAGATTCTAATTCAGTAACTGTGGTCTGAGTCCTACTTTGAGAAAACACCTCCAAAAGGATCCACAGATGGCCTTCAAGAGACTCATGAGTTCCCTATAACTGTAGTCAAAACTGCAAGTGGAGCATACGTGCAGCATATGCCTGGGTATGCATATATACACACATACACACACATATATACATATATACATTTTATGGTAGGAAAGATGATAACTTTCATAAGATCTATGTTTCCTAAATTTTTTTCTCAGATTTCGGTCATAGGGCACATGTACTCACCTGAGAGGCACAGGGGAGAGAGAAAATGAGGACTCACCTCCCCAGTAGGGTATGGGCATGCCACAGTCCCTTCTCCTCTCAGCATTTTGAGCAAACACTAGTGCCCACAGTAATTTTTAAGATGCCAGGTCCAGGACTCAAGCTGCAGTCAGTCATGTGGGAGTCCAGCCACCAGAGGACCCCACCCATATCTCTTCAATTTTAAGAAGCTTAACCTTAGAAACTACACCTGATGACCAGGGATTTAAGACAGGATAAAAAAAATGACTTTGGATCACTGATACTAATCCTCTTATCAGCATTCATGCCACTGTTACGGAGAGAAAATCTGGCAGGATCTGTAAAATGGGAAGGAACTTAGGGACTAGGCAAGAAGCACAACTCTGGAAGGCAGGTTTATGTAACCAGTCACCTTGTTTCCATAAGCTGATTGGGGGTGGGAGGCAATACTGTAAAAAGCAAACTGCTGCTTTCATAATACTCCTATTGAAAACCAGGTTGGGACCAGCAGTTAGTGTAATGGCTATGTCGCTGGACTCCCACGTAGTCGACCGCAGTTTGAGTCTCGGACCCGGTGACTTAAACTCACGCCGGGCGCGTGTGCGTGCGTGCCCAAGATCCAGAGAGGAGAATGGAGGAAAAGGGATTGAGGCGTGGCCATCCCCTCTGAGGGATGATTTCTCGCTTTCTGTCTCTCTGTCTCTCTCTGTCTGGCGAGCGCATGTGCCCTATAGCAAAAACCTCTCAAAAAAAAAAGAAAGAAAAGAAAACCAGGTTAGTTCTAAAATGTCCAAGGTGATGGGATGGCTCCAAATTCTACAGGCCCTGAGAGAGTTCTTGTTCAACCTAAATAGAATAGACCCTCATGAAGATAGTCTAGGGGCCAGCAGGTGGCATGGTGGTGTTGGACTCCCACATGGCTGCACAGTTCATGGCCCCAGACCTGGCAGTTGGTTTTCTCACTTTCTTTCTCTTTTTCTTGCTCTCTCTGGTGAGTACATGTACCACATGGAAAATAAACACATTAAAAAAAATTAATACATTAAACAATTTTTTAAAGTCTAGAAGTAGGTTTTTTTTAAATTATTTTTTAAACCAGAATTCAGTAATCAGAGGTAGAACTAGGATCTTGGGGCCTTATTAGCTCAGATCTGTTCCAGCCTTGGGCTGTGAATAGTGGGAAGTTTTACTGGTATACTGGGCTCAGGTTTCCTCATCTGTACATGACAGACTGAACTGAATAAACCCCAAGAGGTCTTGCTGCAATTTTCTGATAGGATTCCTCTGTTCTGATAGACAACCCCTCTCACCTGTAGTAGAAATGCACGGGGCTGAGGTGGCTGACTGTTGGCATGTAGGAATAGTAGAAGGAGCCATAGAGGAAAACAGACACCCAAAGGAGGAGGAGGATGGTGCAAAAGAGCACCCCAAACTGCAGCAGCAGCCTTCGGGCACGGCCGGCCAAGACATGGCCCACCTCCTGGGCCCACAGTAAGGCAGGCACTGGTGGGTCATTGACCATAGCAGGGAGGGCAGGGGGTCTGGCCCCAGGTTCAGGCCTTGAGTTCCTAGCTGCTCTGCCACCTGGATGACTCCCCTGGCCATGGGATGAGGCAGCTGGAGGTTCCTGGAAAGAGAGGGGAAAAGAATGTCTCCTTTTCGCAGGAAGGTGGGAACAAAAGAGATAATAAGCTCACTGGACTGGCTCTGGAGAACCAGAAACACCAGGACAAGGCAAAGTCAATAGTTTCATATGACTCTTCTCCAAATGACCGTGCTTTTCAACTAATTATCCCTCCCCCTTTCTCCAGCACGCTCCTGTAACTCTCGGTATCAGAGCTCCTCAGTCGAACTCTCTCCAGCCCCACCATTCTGGGACAAACCACCTTGATACTCAGTCATAACAATATATAACTTACAGGCAATGAGCACCTTACAATCCTTTTGGAGCGCTTTTACACACACGATGACAATGAAACCACACTTCCAGGTAGTTGTACGGGCTTGACTACAGTCGCACAGTCCGACTTAAAGCCAGCAGCCTAAGAGCAGCCACAGCTGCCTCCCAGAGTTTTCTCTTTGCTCAGAGCTGCATTCGCTCACAAGCCAGGCCGCACTCCACTCCAGGCAGGCGG